TATTTTGATGGCAAACCTCTTCTTCTTCCCCCCCAAAACAAAAAAAATCATTCAGCATGACCATCTATATTTGTAAATCTTCCCCCTGTCAGGTGCATAGGCTCTCCACTTTCAATTGTCTCCTCCCTGCCGTTTTCATGAGTTTGAGGTCTGGGGTTACACTGACCAGGAGAAGGGGAAGTGGAAAGCATACTGAGGCTGCCCCTCTGGGAGCACCCACACAGGTCAAAATGGGGCTCTGCCTTGCATGATGGGATTGCTCATATTTAGTGTTGCTGCTGGTAACAGACTCCCCAGAGGTATTTGCATCATTCCCACCCACTCTACTCCAGCTAGTATGCAACAATAGAGACTAGAGTCAGTAGACACCAGCCTCTGCCTTGTGGCAGGAGAATAGCGTTTTGTAATTCTGACCCAGGTCAGGAAGTTAAAAGCAGGACTCTCAGCATTTGTACTATTGCATAGCTGCACTTCTGACTGCCTAATATAATCCAACTTTGCAGGTCGATCAGTTCACTGCCACCTCAAAGTCATATGTTAATTTAGTATTACTTAGTCTCTCTTGCTTATTAAATAAAGGGGAATCTCCACCCAAAATTGAGATCTATTCTACAAGATAAGCAAGCCAAACAGTATCACCCTTTAACCAAATAATTCAGATTTAAAACTGGTGAATAAAATGTGGTTTAGCACTCTTCCTTCTACAAACTTCTACCACAAGACTTGGGTATCTAGAATCTGGAACACACTTCCAGCAGAGGTGGTGCGGTCACCATCCCTAGCTGTGTTCAAGAGGAGGCTGGACAAGCACCTTGTTGAGCTCCTTCAAGCCCAATTACCTCCTGCCCATGGCAGGGGATCAGACTTGATCTTACAGGTCCCTTCTGGTCCTTCTTTCTATGATTGTATGATTTTACTGCTATAATTTCAGCCTTCATAGTTATTCTCTATTTGGAATATGACCTTCTAGAGAATTTGTGGTGAATTTGTGGCCCCGGAGGAAGAAAAAAAAATCCACATAGAGCACTAGAGGACTTATCCTGCAGTCTGCGAAGGAATGTAGATAATTTAAACTTTTGATATAGTATTATAGCACCACATGGAAATTGAAATCTTTGATCACGTGCGTAAACTCAGTCCCAAGTATTATGCCAAGATTTTATTCAAACTAGAGATAAGCAACATCAGGCTTAAAATATCATTTGGCTTAACTCTAAGCCCTGCTGGGTGTATCTAACACATGATATTAATGCAACACAATAGCTCCTGGATGCTGCATTGGCACGTGCCCAGGACCACAGCACATTGAGCTGAAGTAGTGCAGCCCTGGCTGGCAGAGAGGCCAGGGGGTCAGCCTGCCAGCCCAGAGATCCAGCCTGCCAGCTGTTCCCTTCTGGCTCAAAATGCTGCAGAGGGGCTAGTTGGCAGACAGCCCCCACACTGTAGCACCTTTGTGGCCCAACCAGCCCCGATCATGGTCTGTACATGCATTGGGGTGGAGTAAATAACTCTGCCGTATGATAGTACTTGCATCGGACAGTACTTTCCTATGGCAGAGTTAATTCGTTTACTTCTGCCTAATAGGGGTGCACATATAAATGGTGAGGCTTTACTGTGGAGCTTATTAGTCAACTCCACAGTAAAGCATCTCGTGTAGATGCACCTGCTGTGACCCACTTCCCCCACTCTAGTGGCACAGAAGAGCTGATTTAAAGAGCCAGCTGGGAATACCCCAGAAAGCAGGAAGTCAGGGTAGCCAAATCACTCTCTTCCAGTCATAGCCTGGTCACGTGTTACACTTAGGGCATGTTTTATTTAGATCATAGTAAACATTACTAGAAGTTAGAAAGTATCCTAAGCTGTTGCATGATAAAGCTTACTACAATCTAAATAAAACATGTCCTAGGTGCCAGAGCCCTTGAAGATTGGTGCGCTGTGGTGTGCAACAGGGGTTGGGAGCAACAAAACAGCTGTTTTTCAGCTTCAGCCCTCCCCAGCCCACTGCACAGGAACCAAAGCAGCTATTACTCATTTCTTGAGTTTGGAAAAATAGAGCAATTCATCTGTTGCAAAGAACTCAGAAAGACCACATCTGGTCAGAATGTTTTTGATACTATGGATTCCTAGTGGAAATCTCTGGGTTTATCTTGTGAATCATGTGTAGGTGTTTACACATCTAACAGTGCCAATATGGTGTTGAACCCTGTGGTACCCCTGAAAGTATCTCACAGAAACCCAGACTACCACAGAACCCTGGGTGAGAATCACTGACCTAGCAGATGACTCTTGGGAAGCCAGTGGAGCTGGAATATAAAATATAAAGAAGCTCTAAGGTACCCACAATCAAGCACCTAAAACCTGGGGCATTAAAAATATAGTGATCATTTCTGATCTCAGTTACTTGCCCATAAACCTCTCTAATTAATTATGCTACTCATAAATTTATTTTAGAAAATATGTGGGATGGAAAAATGTGTGAAGGAGAAGTGAAGGAGTTTGGGGTTTTTTTTCTTTTTACACACGCAACGTAGGAGGAAGATTCATATTTCAGCATTTAATTGAATATCAGTCTTTTAAAAACAAAGTGAATTATCTCTTGGTATATAGACAAAAAATGAGGGAACAAGATACTTCAGTGTGAATGGATTGAAAGTGAGTCATTGGTGTCACCCCAAAATAATTTTTTCTCTTCCTGAGAACTTGAAGGCAGGTATAAACAGATAAGAAAACAAATGAACAAGTTTAAAGACAATGTATTTGACATATAGATGCAAATATCATCAATATCAATGGGAGGTCTGCTATAGACTGCAGAAAGTACCTCACCTTTAAAAATGGGCAAAGTGAATCTTCAGAAAAAGAGGTATACTTGAGAGGAAGCAGACCTCTGTCAAAAGTTTCTACTTTCAGGCACAGCTTGGCAAAGGGGCAGAATTTGTAAACCTTCAACAGAGCAAGCATTTGAATAAAGCAAGTTATGGGTCATTACTAGTTCAAGAAACAACACCCCCCCCCAAAAAAAAAAAACCCCACAAAAACCCCAAAACCAACAACTTTTCACAGTACAAGATTTGTATTGCTAACATTGTATTCAATACAATAAAATAAAAAGTCATTTTAGGCTAAAAAGTATGTTTCATCCTCATTTAGGTTCCAGCTTAATATACAATAAAAATAGTGTACTTCTGGCTTCTGTGACACAAAGGTAGAAGAAACCAAAGCAGCTTGTCCTATTGGTGACACATAGGGGGTGCACATGGGTGCATGTGCACCCCTTGAGATTGGCCATGCTCCCCCTGAAATTGGCTGTTGCCACCACTGCTGGCAGTGTCTGCGGGTGGTCACCACTCACCACCCTCTCTCTCTTCCTCCCACTGCCAATACCACTGTGGCCGCCCGTGGGTGGTCCCCGCTTGGCCTGCCCTCACCGCCAGTGTTACTGTGACTGCCTGTGGGCAGTTCCCGCTCACCGCCACCATGCCCCCGCCACTGACACTGCTGCCTGAAGGCAGCCACCGTGCCCCACCAGCCTCAGGAGGGACAAGGCATTCATGAGACAACCCTTCAAGAAACTGAGCAAGCAGCAAGACAAAACAAAATAAAAGAAAGCAAAAGACCAGCAATCTGAGTGAAGAGTAGGCCATGGACACAACTAGGCATCAGAAAAAGAAAAAAAAAAAGCACAAGAAGAAACACAGGAGACACCACACAGATTGTTCAGCACTTTCTGCAGCTGCAATTAGGATGGGCAGTGGTAATGACATGGAGATTATAATATGAGAAACTGTGTAACATAACAGTACTGTCTCCTGGACAACCACAACTCAATTAAATGAGAAAAAAATGAGTCTCCATCTCCTCCCCTGGGCACATGACATTGTAAGGACTTGTGTGCAGCGGGAAGAAAAACTGCAATATTGAAACAAAGATTGCAGTACAGGCAGTCTTTGGACTTAGGACACAACCACATCTTACATTGAAACGTAACTTGGAACTGATTTTCCCATAGGAAACAATATTATAAATGGGGTATTGGTTCCTGAACCAAGGCTGGATACCCTATTTTCACCAAAAATAACCCATAATTTTGTATTCAATCAATTATAGATGAGTAATATAGCTACTTTAATGTATTTATATTGTAAATAGCAATCATATTGATTTAGAAAGACTTCTTTGAGGTGACTTTGCTGGACTTTTTGAAGGGCTCTTGGTTGGACTTTTTGAAGGGTCGTTGGCTGGAGTCATCTCAGGAGCCTTGGCTGCAGGTTTTTCTAGAGTCTTGTCTGCTTTCTTAAAGGCAGTGTCCAAGGAAGTTTGGACAGATGTTCTCCAGGGAGATGGGTGGCACAGCAAACTTGTTCACTGGCATGGCGTGGTGTCAGATCAAGCGTTGTAAAGTCGAAACTGACGTCAGAAAGTTGAAACAGGGTGTCAATTTATAAATGTTTAAGTGATAAATGTTGCAACTCGAAACATTGTAAGTCAAGGATTGCCTACCACCAGGGGAGCTGGGGTGAGTACATCGGAAATGTACATGTCCAGCTACAGGAAATATCAAATAAGCAGACTCTTGTAGTGGCAGATAGTAGCAGTAGAAGCCTTTTATGTTTTGTTCAGGTTCCCAGTGACTAAAGACTTGATCTGTCCCTGCAAGGCACTGTCTACTTACATTTTTGGGGTAATTTCTAGTTGAGCTCCTGCTCACTGTTTGATCTTGCTCTTAAACTTTCATTACATTAAGTTAATCAGCATTTCATTACTATGACTGTCAGGACTTGGGACCTACTTTCATGAGTCTCAAATATATTATAGGTCATATACAGGGGTATAGGTTGTAGCCACATTGGTCTAAGGACATCGTCGAGAAGCTTCTTTGGGTAACTCTGATATCTTTTATTACACCAACTCATATAGTTGGAAAAATTCTTCTTAGCAAGCTTTTGGGTATAAATACCCTTCATCAGGCTGAGGAGGCATCTGCAGTTGGTGTGTGCTCTTCCTGGATGTTATGAATAGTAAAGAAGCCAGAGACTGGTATGCAGGCGAGAAAGGTGGTGGTGCTTGGGGAAGCAAGTGCTTAACTTCTTGTGCAGGGGCTCCTGCAGTGGTGGGGCAGGCTGCTGCTACTGCCTAAGCACAAGCTCCCTGAGCACAGGCTGCTGCTGGGCCAGTGGTACAGGTTCCTAGGGGGCTGCCGTTTGGAACTAGACACCTCTCCAGGGCTGGTGTCTAGGTCATCCCCCACCCTCCCCCAACATCTCTTCCAGCTCTTATATGATTGCATCCTCTGCAAAGTGTTTTTTTACTGCAGCGCAGTATGCAGCTTCCTGATGCCCCCTGATGTGAGTTGTACAAGTTCAGGGCCTTGGAGCTGCCTTGACATTTGCCTTTGTATTTGTTCCTCAGCACCCTTCCCTGGACATTGCTCAGTGAAAAGGATTTTCTAAACATGCCTGTTTTAGAGCGAACTTGTGTGAAGTTGGAAGAAATATCTTCCCTAATGAGACGGTTTTGTAATTTGCCATTTTTTCTTGGTGATTCATATTTACAGTAAGTTTGGCTCTGAGGAAACTTCTCAGCATTGATATTCTGCATGGGATGCTCAAACAGATCTCCCATGCACATGCTCTCCCTGCTCAAACTAGAAATCTTGTCAGCCTGATGAGGAGGTACCACTGCTGGTTCGGCCTCTGGAAGATTTTCTTCCCCAAACTCTCTATCTAGAGGCAGTGACCTGCTTCTTGGTGGAGAAAGGCCAGGTGACTGTTGGGGAAACAGTGGGGCTGGTTCTCCTGTACTCCCTCCCTGCACACATCCTGGTGATCTGCTGGCTGTTCTCACTGTGTCTGTGAAGACAAACTTTGTGGCTTTGGCCTCTTCATCTCTCATGTCTCCCTCAGCTATTTTTCTCTCTTCATATTGTATTTTTGCTGGATATGTGATGTCTGTTACCTCAGTCACATGCCACGTCATTATATTCGTAATTTCATCAGTCATATCTTGGGTCTTGTTTTTCTGTAGCAGAAACAAATGAGGAAGGACAATAAATGTGTTAATTCCTTCATTCTCCCTTCTTTACATGGCAACAGCTGTCTACTGGGTGTGATTCAAACTTATAGGATAAACACTAACAGCCACCTGTGAAAAGTGGCATGTATCACCAGAGCCTTTTGGATACGGTGGGATATAAACTGAACAGAATAAATATAGGAAATCAAAAAACAGCCAGTTCAGGAAAGGTCAGTGAAGGACAAATGAGGATCAGTTTGTTTCTGAAGGGCTGATATGCAGTCTGAAGACCATGGAAGACAATTTTGACCATCTTGAAGGCCAGGGGAGGTTTGTCACTGATTTCAGCAGGGCCAGGATTCCCCCACATGAGCCTAGATATGACCTGATTTTCCCAGTTTACGATATTACAAGTGTCAGGGGGACTAGGAGTTACATACAGCTCTGGACACACACTGTGCAATGGGCCCTGTTGTCCAGAGTCTCTGCCACATGCAGAGTGAGAAATGACAGCTAATCTTACTTCCATGCTCCATATCTGAATAGGTGCTGAGGCCAGGCATTGGGACCATCTCTAACACCCCCTCCTCACACTTCTCAACTAGCTTGCCTCCCCTTATGGAAAAGAATGAATTTTACACTAGTCATTCACCAATTACCTTGTTAAGGTATATATGATATATATACATATATCTATAAATTCTACTGTGGCTTTGTTTCTAACCTTTATTGCTTTATGAAGCAGATGTTTCTTTTTGCTCTGTCACTTTCTCGTTCCATCCATCCGATGTTTTTCTTTTAAGAAGCTTTTGAGTTTTTCATAGTCCATCTAAACCCTGCCTAAATCTCCTGAAAAACATGTAATATAGTTTCTGCTGCAATTAATTTCTGCTCCACCCCCTCCTATACCTGTGTTTCTTTTTGCTAAAGCAATTGTAGCATTCTTTAACAGATTCCAAGAAGTTTCTACTACCATTTGTGAGCTATAGCTTGGAGGTTTCCAAACTGTTTCAGTGGAGCGTATTGCTGATGAATTAACACAGGCCACATCCTGTCTTTTCAAACGCACAATGAGAATGGAAGGATGCACCTTTCCCTTATGAGTCAGGAAGGGGACCATGCTCCATATCTCTCTTTTCTATGAGATGTTCTAAGTCACCTTCTCCATGCATTTTATAATAGGGTCTTGCAGTGATATATTAGATAGCCAATTGAGTGCTTGGATGCTTGGCAAGGGGACAAGAATGAGGAATAATGGAAATAGGACAAGGCCAAGTTGGAGGGGACCCAAAAGCAGAGGTCAGGCTTGTTGGGGAGAGAGAGTCAGCACAGGGCCCTGGGGTCACTAGAGTGTACGCCTGTCCAAATCCTGGGGTAGACCTGAAGATCCATGTGTCTCCCTGCTCTTCTGCTGTCAGCATATTTCTGTGAGCCTTACCCTTAAAGTGTCCCCCCCCTTTCCCCCTTTCTCCCTAGATTGGTGGAAAACCCATTACTGCTGTCAGCTCCTGAGTCAACTCAGATGGCAGAACCCAGTCCAGTGTATTTAAAGGTCGCACTGTGCCGACAGTCCAACTGGATGCTATTTGGTGCCACGAGTTAGTTTATTTTCCCAGGTGATATTTTAAAAACCTGGGTAGTTGCATACACAAAGATGTTACAGTAGTAGTAAGTTTGTAAAGACAAGTGCCCCAAACTGGGCAAGGCCAGGATGAATGTTGCTTGTGGTTCTTAGTGTTTTGTCCCTGTGCGTGCATGGGCTCTGACACAGTCGCCACCACTGCCAGTATAGCTGCTGCAGCCAGCCCAGCCCCTGCTGGTGTCCCTGCCTCCCAAGATGCAGATTTTGGTTGTGATGCCTCCAGTGTGTGGCCTAGGCTTTACTGGGTGTGTCTACATGAGATGCTATGTTGCCATAGCTCATTGCTATGGTGACAAAGCATTGGCGGGCTTGTTTGCTACTGCACAGTAGCATCAGAAATGACCCATGCAGCATTGGGACTATGCAGGAACATTGGTTACTTGCTTAAGTAAATACTAAATGACTGCACAGTAACAACTGTACAGTCCCGTGCACGTGTAGATGCGCCAACTAACTGTACAGGATTAAACTCTACTCCAAATAGAACATATCCTTCCTTGTGGGCTTTCCTGGGGAGTGGGACCAAAGTGGAATTCCTACCCTTTACAGTACATCATCACTGACTTCCTGTGCCACTGTGC